TTCAATGATTATCACTTTCAGAAATTCATAACTTACTACATCGTTCTCACTTTCCGTCCGATTTCATACCAGTTTGCTTATGATTTAATTGATTTCATCTAGAGTAGTTTGCTATCAAGTTTGGATTTCCATTTAAAAACTATAAACAGTCATGATTAGCAAACTGTTTTGTCATAGATTTTGACATTAAAATATTATTTTAAAAAATTCAATGATATTTAAGAAAATATGACACAAAATGATAGACGGATAATACGACAAGCAAGACAACCTGACACCGTCATGCCGTAATAACAATGATGGCGGATTGATTATATAAGAAATTGCTGGGGCAAATAAAAAATGGGAAATATTACGAGGGATCATGAAAACAATGGATATAGCTAACATTTTGGGTTGTCTGTCGTCAGAATTTTTCCTTCGGGAATTTAATTTATTGCAACAGTAAGTTGCGGTAATTTCCCTTTTACTTATTCTGCCCTTATTTCCCGATTTTTTTGTTTACAAGTATAAAAGGGTTCCTCGGCCGTTTTGTCCCCCTTGATCCGCCTATGAAAAAAAAAAAGAAATTTATTTCAACATTAAGTCGCGGTAATTTCCCTTTCACTCATTTTGCCCTTATTTCCCCATTTTTTGTGTAGAAGTATAAAAGGGTTCCACGGTTGTGTTGGCCCCCTTGATCCGCCTATGAATAAAAAATAGAATTAATTTCAACATTAAGTCGCGGTAATTTCCCTTTCACTTATTCTGCCCTTATTTCCCAATTTTTTGTTTACAAGTATAAAAGGGTTCCTCGGCCGTTTTGTCCCCCTTGATCCGCCTATGAATAAAAAATGAAATTTTTTTCAACATTAAGTCGCGGTAATTTCCCTTTCACTCATTTTGCCCTTATTTCCCCATTATTTGTTTAGAAGTATAAAAGGGTTCCACGTTGTGTTGGCCCCCTGGATCCGCCTGTGAATAAAAATATATATTTATTCAACAGTACGTCAAGGTAATTTCCCCGTCCCTTATGCTTCCCCTATTTCCGAATTATTTTTTTTTCAAGTAGAAAAGGGTTCCGCGGCCGTTTTGGCCCCCTGGATCCGCCTATGAAGAACAAAACAATACAAATAAATAATGAAAAGGTACATGTAGCCTTCCTTCCCGTTTGAATTATACTTCTCCGAATTTAACAACACAAGCATGGCAAGGGGAGGTTGACCCGGATGCACAATGCGAGAGCAAGAATTATCTGCAACGCCCCTGCCTCAATTAATCAAGTGATATTTTGTCATTAGCACCATCCACATTCACCGCACGTCATGAGTGCAAAGCATGCAATGGCCAAGAAGCGTTCGATGACGTGAGGGAGCATGCACCCCCCCCCCCCTCTCCGTTCTATCGAATGGCGGGAACAAAAAAGATAGTACAAAGAGAGAAAAAGAAAGGAAAGAGCGGACAAGGAAGGTAAAAAGAAGATGATACAACTCCCTGATATCCCGCCCCCTTATCATTCGCCTTGTTAATTTCAAGTGCATCACACATTGATCTTTTACAAGAACGCCACCCCCTCCCAATGCTGATGCCCTATCCCCACTACGCCACTGCATAACACCGTCCTAATTCGGAGTAAAAGTATTCGTTCTAAGGCAACATCATAACCACGATTTATTACAATTTTACAGTCATAAATCGTGGCTCTTTTTTTATGAGTGTTTAAACATTAATATCTGTGTTCAAGTTATCCGTTTCCTGGTTCAATATGAAAATGATACAAAAATTAATGATCATGAAGAAAGTACAGTTCTAATGTATCCTTATCTAAACTTCCCACTTGGTTAAAGTCTAAATGATAAGCTATAAGTTTCATATATACTTACAATTCATGTTCTCTTTCATTAAAAGAAAGAGAAAAATCTATATTAAAGTAACGACCCGAATGGCGAATCAGCTCGTTTGATACAATTAAATGTAAATCAGGTTTAAATAATTTAATAATTTCATAAAGAGTTGCATGCGTCAAGGAAGGAGTTTCGCTCCCGTTCCTCTTCATTTTAATTTGAAGGTGGAGAAGAAGGAAGAGGTTTTAGGAATGGAGCCAGGAATTGCGCTCCTCGTTTCCCTTTTCAATGTTGTCATATTCCACGAATGTATACAATCTAAAGGCTGTATCCTTCTGTATTATGATGGGGAAAGGCGTCGGTAATACTATGATTATGCATCTTTGACGTCATGACATCCCATCATGCAACCTTGGAAGAAGCCTATCCCTATCATCTTTGTAATTTCCTGTCATCCAGACGTCATCACTGTCTGAGATTATTTTGTTTCCATATCTGTTCGGGTAGATTTATTACCATGAATTGCCAGACATCCGTGTGGCAGATGTTTTGTTTTAAAATAATATGATTAAGGAGTATATTTAGGAAAATTACGTATGGTGGTGGTGACTACGAGAGTATGTCGTATGAGAACGTTCATAATCAGAATTATGCATGTACCTTTGTAGAAAATTTAAGAGTCTACATTTTTACAACTGCATACCCCAATACGATGCGATTTGAGGTTTTAAATTATATGAATCATCAAAAGTGTCGATATTTGTGTAACAACTTGTGCCACAAAAAACAGGTTTTGACGATCATTATAACAAGAAAAAGAATCCAGAGAGAGAGAGAGAGAGAGAGTGCGAGAGAGAAAGAGAGAGAGTTTGAAATATAGATTAAACAAAGTTTGAAATAAAGCACGTGATATCAAAACCATTTCAAGAGAAAATGAGACAATAAACAAAGCATTCTCAGTTTATAATCCATTGCCCTACTACCGACTCTCTCGTATTCCTAACTACATCAAGAGTTTTTATTTTGATGAAAAGATAAGACATAATTATTTAAAAAAAACTACTTATAAAACACCGTATATATAGGAGAAATGGAAGAGCTCTTTGCATCATGGTGTACCATATTCAATGAAGCATATCAAGTACGAGACAACATTATGATAGCTTTTCTACCTTGAGGGCGCAAATCAAAAAGCAATATCAGTGTAATACTAAAATCAACGCACGTTGATCATAATGTTGTACCAATTAAATAGTTTTGGAATAGTTGCTCTATCGCATTTTGGAATTAAAACAAAAAGAGCAAGAATTAAATCTAACCTGATGTTGCAGTTTTGTTTTTACATCTTGTTCTAGGAAGAAGGGAATATCAATTTTAAAATGTTTTTTTTAATAATCAAAACAAAAACACAATATCACCGATATGGATAAAAATATGAAATGTACATGTTTGTTTATCTTTTGGAATGATTCTTTATTAATATTTAAGAGTTTAGATTGGTGTAGCATTATTTTTTTTATTTTTACCGCCCGCTGAAGTATTTTGTCATATAAGAAATCCTACCTGATTGTATAGGCATATTAAACGTCATTAGGACAGGGATAACAACATTGTACGCTAATGTTGAGATAAACCAATAATAATGCATAGCAACCCTAATCATGTTGGACAAAATTCACATAAAATTCACAGATAAGTTAAAAAAAAAGAATTCTTAAAACCAATACTTCTGTAAGGTATTGAAATAGTTGCACTGGTGAGAGAAAACCATCCCCACCCACCCTTCTGAAAACAGGGATAATCTACAACAAAACCAGCAACGAAAACAACAAATATCGACTTCAATAATGACAAAGAAAAAGTCAAACACAATAATTCATGCTAATAGTTTTATTACTTCACAAAATCCCCAGTGTATTGTGGTATTTCTGACAGGTTAAATGTTAACATTGTTATAAACCAAAGCAAATAATTGTAATTGATGTCTGGAAGTTATTTACTGCAGATATATATATTGTGTTCTGTCTAAAAGGTAGCTTCGTTTCCGAAACCCCTTCTACAAGCTCCGATTCTATTCAGTTCCTCTTTTCTCGTGCCATTACTACACTGTCGCTCATAAAGGTGGAATATTTTAGTTTTACCCCAATTTATGGAATTATTTTAAAAATTATTTAAAAATAATAGATATAGATAATAGTATACATTCTCAGATTTTATTGAATAATAACTTGCCAATGTGTGTTTTGCGGAACTGCTGAAGCATGTGTATGCTACTATGCTTATTAACTAGGGGACCTACGCTCTCAAGTCATAAATGACGGTAATGAGGATTAATGCCCCACGCAAGGGCACTAATATAGCACATCGACACAGGTTTGATCCTGGGGCCTCACAGTTACGAGGCCATTGTTTTGTCACTAAACCATGACTGTACGCAGCGGGGGCTAGGGTAGGGGGCAGTTTCCATAGATTAAAACAAAAACAGAAAATGCAATAAATTTTCAATAATTTATTGCATTTTACCCCGGTCCCCAACATACAAAAAATCCTCTGGACGGCCATGCCTTATGGCTAAAGGCATGGGCACACAGAATTTTTTTTTTATGTTAGGCACCGGGGTGAAATGCAATAAATTATTGAAAATTTATTGCATTTTCTGTGTTTTTTTAAATTTATGGAAACTGCCCCCTACCCTAGCCCCCGCTGCGTACAGTCATGGTTCAGTGACAAAGCAATGGCTTCGTAACTGTGAGGCCCCAGGATCAAAACCGTGTCGATGTGCTATATTAGTGCCCTTTTGTGGGGCATTAATCCTCATTACTGTCATTCATGACTTAAGGGCATAGGTCCCCTAGTTGATAAGCATAGTAGCATACACATGGTTTAGCAGTCATGCAAAACACACATTGGCAAATTATTATTCAATAAAATCTGAGAATGTACACTATTATCTAGATCTATTATTTTTAAATTATTTTTTAAAATTATTCTATAAATTGGAATAAAAAAAATATTCCACCTTTATGAGCGACAGTGTATTATCGAGGGGTCCTCTGCTTTTCAGTGGACCTCTCCATTTCTCTCCATAAATGTAGTTAAATTTATAATACACCAGTTTACAGTTGTATCAGTGCGCATGCGCAGACAGTTGACCTCGGGTCATTGGGCCCGGAACGGGGCCAATAACCTCTGACCTCTGGTATTTATGCGTAAATTAAGATTGCGCCCATGCAAATGATGATGTGCGCGCACAACGCCGCGCGTAGGGCAGTGATATTATCGAAATTTGCATGGGCGCAATCCTAATTTACGCATAAATACATGACCTCTAGGTCATTGGCTTTGTTTAAAATGGCGCACACAACTGTAAACTGGTTTATTGATATTGATAACAAGTTTTATGAAACAGGGCCCTGGTGGAATAAAAAGAGTCGGACTGCATGGGTATGCGCATGAAATAATAAGATAATGCTATGGAGAAAAATGCTGTTGCACATGTACGTCGGATGGATCTTGGATGGTGATAAAGAGTTCCAGTCTGTAAAATGTTTTCAGAAAGGATGGATATATTTTGCAGGAATCTTTTTCCCTCCAGTCCCTCGCAGTCCTAAGTGATCAGTGAGCAAAATGGCTTCTCGTCTGCAACTCCTTATTTAAATTAGTACTTGAAACAGAATGTTGGTATCCTTCTCAGAGCCTAACTAAACGTCGTATTTCGGAAGACGTTGAACATACATTTGAGATAAATATGTAGCTGAGGCGGCTTAAACCTACACACTGATGGCAACATTATCATACAATGCAACACAACTTTATTCTATTCCGTGATCTCTTTGCCCGTTCTGAAAGAAGTCGTCGCAACACATTCCAGATCATAATACGTCTTGAACGCACCTACGTCGAAATTGGCACGGCTAGAGGGCACCGGCACGTTACTTATGGAGCCAGACTGACGGAAGAGGAGGAATATGTATCTGTGGATACCGGATGGTGGAGTAGGAGGAGCGTACTCTGACGGAGAAGAAAGAAAAGATCAACATGAATGTATTTTTAAAATGTAATCATTCGTTCAAAATCTATATCCAGAAAAGTTTGATGAGGTAATAATAAATGGCGGATCAAAGGTCAAGTCTTCATTAAGTACACGGTGTGTCTCTGGGATACGCGTCGACATGCATTTCTAATGCTCGTTGCACACTATGCGCCGATTGCATGACGCAGGGTTGCGTCTTCGACTGCCGCGGTCTTTGACGCGCCGTGCAAAAGGCGATTGAAAATGAAAGATGCAAACCAAAGTCCAATCCCAATTAAGCATTTTTATGAACTGTCTCCTTTGCACAAGAGGCGTCGATTCACTTGCGTTATTACCTATAGTTGTCTAAAATGCGTCATTTTGCACTCACTTTGTGTACGCGCGATAATCCATCATGGCATGTCAAAGAAAGCCCCACTCGCTGACGCAGTCCTATACGTCAGCAAAATGGCGCCCTATGTGCAACGGGATGCTATTCAAAAGTCCGAAGCAAATTACGTAATAAATATGTCCTGAGCGTGCGTCTCTTAATATTTCCGGTATACATTAAAATTACAAAAGTCGTTAACAAACAAACTTGTCATTTAGGATTATTATCAAAGATAGTATAACATGGGGACGTGCAGTTCAAAGAAAAAAGATATTTTAAAAAGAATCTTCGAGAGTCTGCGGCAGAGAGTTGAACCGCATACCTGGCGGTTCACAGTCCAGACACTTTTCCACTAGACCACAATACCTCTACAGTGTGTCCCGAAAAAAATATACACTTTTGAAATGGCTGCCGAATAAAAAAATATATGATTCTAGGGGAAAAATTATATATGTATGGAAAGCTCATATACTCAACTTTCATATGACACCAAAAGTTGCGAAAATAATTCATGCTTGGGTGAGCACTGCTCACTTTTGTAAAGGGTATGAAAATTAGGTTGCGCAGGAATTAGCCTTCCAATTTGTGAGAGGTAAATCCTTTGGAGCTTACGGAATCGAGGATGATATCGTCGCCGTTTTCACGAAGTGTCCCAAGAGCGTTTTAGCGTACAGAAACAAATTTTGAGATAAACGCGTTTAAAGTTTCACTTTTTTACAATCGCTGTTTTCACGGGGAAAAAGTATGTGATGGTATTCATTTTTTTGGATATCTTGATAGTACACTATCTACAGAATGAAATGATATAAGTTTTACGTGGAAATAATGTTTATTTAAACAATAATTAGACCTCAATCACAGAGGACAGTCAGAGGACGGTTCGTGAAAACGAAAAACTTGACATCCACGCTTAGGCTCGTCTTCACGTAGTGGCCCCGCAGCTTACGCGGCCCCGTTTCCCCTGTTGGTTATGTGAAATTTCGTTTCTACGAACCGTCCCAGTTGACGTGCGCGCTGTGCAAAGCAATGCCCATTTGCGTACCCCCCCCCCCCCCCACCCATAAAAATATATTTGTCATACCTAGCTGATTCTGTTTCCTCGAAATCACAGCACTATATTCAATGTTAGACTCGCATCACTCTGCCCCATCCAGAAATTCATCTTGAATCCTTCACATAATGCAGGAAATGCAATAATTTGTTAGTGACTCTGAATGCCTGTTATGGAAATTGTATATACTGTCCTGCTTCATATGTGATTTAAGTTTAATTGAATATTTTTGTCAATGATCAATAGCATATTTGTATACTTTTTGTTTGTTTGGGGGGGGGGGGCACACCAAGCACTATGTACAACTTCTTCTCAATTCTTTCTTTCTCTCTCTCTCTATCTCTCTCCTCTCTAGCTCTCTCATGCAAACAAGAACATCCCCCTCCTTCTCTTTCTTTCTCTCTCTTTATCTCTCTTTTTGTCGTTTATTACCCCAATTTGTTGTCACATAGTACATTACTCTCTCAGACACATTTCTCCTATAAACAAATCTAACTAAATAAGAATAAACGTTGAATAGCACAAAGCAATCAAATCTTAAGATTAATACTTTTGTCTTGATTATGACTGCATTTATTTCTTTGCAATATACAGTAACTGGAATCGTTTTTGTACAGTTCATTTCACAATTACATGTACAATCATTAAAAATTGATAAATCATAATAATAATAATAATAATAATAATAATAATAATAGCCTAATAGTTCACTCAAAATTTTATTAAACCGAAACAGAAATTCTTTTTGCCCAATTGATCGTGAGCCCGGCAGCCACTGAGCAGCGCCAGATCGACGTTGCTCTATCCCTTATTGTTGAACACCAAACAAGGTAGCAACAACTCCCATCTTTTAACGTCTTTTGGTATGACGCGGCCGGGATTCGAACCCACGACCTCCCAGTTGTGAGGCGGACGCTCTACTGACTGAGCCAACACTCCGGTGTAATGAATCATGTTTGAATATCAAAATTGCAACTTATTTAACTGTAGCCCACACTCATGGCAAAAAATACAACATGGTAGCTCTATAAAGAAGGGGGTACCGGTGTTCTTGGACAATTCTGAAATGCAAATTCACAAGGCCACTGATTAGGGGGAGGGAGGGTTACAATATAGTTTGAGTACTGCCACAATGGAAGAGGAGCTTAAAAGAAAAATCATTAATTATTTATATTTTTTGTGTATGACATACACAGTTGTCAGCTGCATACGTCCCTGTTGCCTCATAAAATTGCAGATCTGAGATTTACATAGATGTTGTAATCTAACTTTTCAAACATTATTTCTCATTCTATGTCTGATTTCTTTCAAACTTTCACCAGTCTATTACACTCATTTCTTTCTGCTTTAACATAAATCAACTTGTTACAAAGGTTGGATTGCCCTTTGAAATATAAACTATTAGCAATTAATATTAGTCCTACATGCCAAATCCTTCTAGAAACATACAACACTGTAAGTTTATGGGATTAACACTGTAAGTTTATGAGATTAAAACTTCTTACATGCAACTTTCATATGATGGATGACCTTAGTCTGTGCTGTTCTTAGTGAGGAAGGAGGGAGGTTGTCACTGTCAAAATAATAATAACAATATGCTCAAGGCGCTCCAACTATTACCCTGGCTCTGCTAGGCAGCCGCTTTCGGTGCTCACAGCAGAGTGGCAAATGTAGATTAATATCTTGCCAAAAGACATTACTGCTGTGGCGGGACTTGAACCATGGATCGTGTGATCCACAGTCCAACGACTTATCCACTAGACCACAAAACCTATAAATGGAGGCACATTCGGAGTCAGAGTCTCCTGTCAGCGTTGCAGTCCCCGTCCAGTCCACATCCATCAAGCTCATAGTGACTCTTGAACCCACCCTAAGCCTTCCGTTATATCGAAGATCTCGTTTCTTGCCACAATTGATCTCTCCATCACGATCCCACCTAACAATAACTTCTGTATTTTTGTCCATCCTAAGAGGTAATTGACAAAAGATTGTTACAATCAAGTTATCAATAACTCTGTTCAATGATAAGTAGAGTGGACATAGTAATTTTATTTCATAAAACAGGAATGAAACCTAGAAACGGGTATTAAATAAAAAGTGGTTTTACTCTGTCCTAAATTGATATTTTGAAATATACAGTAACTATAAATGAAAATCAGAATATGAATTTAAGGTCTACTTTTAACAGAAAAAAAGCGAAGCATGCACCGAGTAGAAAAGCAGATTTGCAATTGTTTTATAAATACTGTTGCACCATTTATTCACTTAGAATGCAATTTGTGACATTGTGGCACTAAATTCCTGGTAGGAAATCAGAGTGGTATAACTCCTATTTAAAAATATGAATGGCTTTCCTGTGTTCAACACTTTTAGGTTGGGAGGATTGGTATATTGTTTAAAAAATTGTGACAGCATACTCCATGGTCTGTATGGTACTATTGTATTCCATTTCAATAAAAAATGTAGCGGACATCTATACAGTATTTATCAACCACTGAAGATGATATGATAGGGTTCCATATGTATTACTGGGTTTGTTGTCAATCATTGAATTAATATGTTCATATCTAAAGAAGATATAAAATCTGCAGGTTATCAGCAAATTTGTGATGAATGTTATAAACCCAGTAAGTAACAATGAATGCACTTGCATGTACTTGTCTGCCAGATTGAAAGAAACTTTATTATATCAACTTTCAGAAAGACCACTCAATAAGGATCAATATTCAAAGTTAGTCAAGCGTATAATATCATTCATTATTATTTATGGTGCAATTATCGCATAAAGACACGCATGATGTAGCAGTGGGTAATATAAGAGCATATTACCATGCGTTTCACATCTGGGTACTTGTACATGATACATGTATAAGTGATACTTGAAATATAAGAAGAGGATAATTGATAATAATAACATTGACTGGCTCACATTTTGGTTGATATGAGACAATATTGCCCTCAACATAACCATATTGCCCTCGTCTTTGACCCGGCCAATATGATTATATTTGGGCAATATAGTTTCATATTCCCATTAAAGCCAGTCAAAATTATAAAAATATTTCATATATAAACAATATAAAATGTAACAAATTAGGTTAAAACTTACCTTTGATGACTGAGGGGACTTAGCTATTCAGTCGGTCGGTCTGTCAGTTGTTTGGTCTGACCTCCAAACCGTGGTATTGGAAAAGCAATCAGTTCAAGGGCAGAGGGTGAAGATGCTGGGTTAAAAGGAGAATATATTTGATAACTCATGATGGATGTAGAAAACCCCCAACACAGCTCGTACAGGAAGCTATACTGGGATGATATGATTTTAAAATCGCATCTCTTCAAAAAATTACAGGCATCAGGTTAATGCATATTATTTTATTTTTTCTGTGATGAAACAACACAAATTAGTGTAACTCTCCTTCTTCATTCCCTTCCCCCTATGAAAAAAAGACAATAAGAAAAATACAAAATATAAGATGAAGCCTGTCATCTTATAAGTTGATACACCATAAGTAGCTCAAACATGACATGTTGGCAAAATGAATGTCTGTCACGCACATTAAAGAGCGAGGAACTTGTATTTGATGCCTTACAATACCATCAACTGCCTAAAACCTTTCAAAGCAAGATCAGTCATGCGTTTATGAAAAAAAATTGAGTGTTTGGGAACCCGTCATCTTTGGAGGGCCCTCCTAGCACCCCCACCACTTTGCGCACATTAGAAAATTACTTCCCAGCATAGTTTTGTCCATGGATCATTGTTATGTAAATGAAAATAGTTCATTTGTTTGCTAAAGATTGACCCCTCCCCCTCGCCAGCCCAACTCCCAATCTATAACTTTTCTTTTGGAGCTAATTTCCTTACCACACATACCTTGTCAATTTGCTAAAAGCTCTCCACATCAGCTGCACAAACTCCTACATGGACATCAACCACTGGGGGTGCTAGTGGTCCCTCATCTCTTGCGTATCCCAGCTGTCTATTCTACTGGTAAACTATGAAAAAATATGAAAAGTATTTGTTTAATTTTTCTGCATTTGTTCAAACAAGCCACTTCATCTCACGGTTGAATATCCCTTTAACTTATTAGCAAGCACATCATTATCTAAAGCAATTAAGAAGACCTTACATAATTAAGTCTCAGTCTTGCAAACATGGGATGAAACAACCCAAATTAGTGCTAACTCCCCCCCCCCCCCCCCCCTCACAACGTGACGGACATGTGCGCTATACCAGAAGCAACTACGGTAGTACTATTATTATAAGCAAACCCCCCCCCCCCCCAACAAAACAAAAAGCCTGTCATCCTCCAAGTCCAAGGCAAAAGGTACACCTTAAGTAGCTCAACCACAACTTTGATGGCAAAATGAAATTATCATGCACAATAAAGAGGGAGGAATTTGTAGTGGACGTCTTCCCATACCATCAGCTTTATCTTTGTCTTAATTAAGAGCAGGCATGCGTTTATGAGCATAAAGCCGAGTGTATAAGAAGCCGCTCCAGCCTATGCTAGGTTGACCCCCCCCCCCCCCCCCCATCCATTAGTACCTCAACAACATGCTTAAAGAGAAGGTTGAGTTCTGGGAAGAGGTGAAAAATAATTTGTGAGCGTTACTCATTCTTATTATGCAAGTGTGGAAGAACATCAGATAAGACATGTTCCCTGAAAAGAGTGGCTCTTCAAATGCCTTCATATTCTAAATATGCATGTAACATCGTAAAAATCGGGGGCCGGCTTTTTTACGCCACGTTTTCGTGTAGTCCCATACACATCTTTCTGTATACAGTGTTTGTAACTCCACCAAGACCTGGCCAAATTTCTTATCATCTCGATGATTCCAAAACCCTGCGATACACACAAATTCTTATATGCTAGATTAGCAACCTTTTCTGGTCGGTTCCACACCGTTTCTTTCACAATGCAATCGCATGACCAGAACTCAACTTCATCTTTAAAGCTCTCCACGTCAAACTCCTACTTAGACATCAGCCACTGGGAGTGCTAGTGATGGTCCTCTCAGCCGGCTATTCTACTGGTAAAACCGGGAAGAAACATGAAATGTATTTGCTTCATTTTTCTGCATTTGCTGAAATTAAGCCACTTCATCTCAATTCTCATGGTTGGATTTCCCTTTAAATTATTAGCAAGCACAAAATTGTTTATTCATTCAAGCATACCTGGCTTTACTATTCAAGTCTCAGTCTCGTATTTATAACATGAACATGGAAAGAGCTTACCAGGGGGTCATGTAACATTTAAATCTAGTACTAGGAGTACGTAAGTACTAACGTAGTAGATCTAGACTCAACTCCTACGTCGCAATTGCCATTTTATGATTTGGCATTGTCATATCAACATTGACATTGAATTTTAACCAAAATGTGCCCTTGGCTAATTGGGCCTTGCCTTGGAGGCTTGGGCTGGTACTGCTTAATCAGTTAACATAGTTAATGTAAAATTATTATTAATGATATCTCCCCTGCCCTGGCCGCGAATATTTTTTTTACACGCTAGTCTGGCCAGTTTCGCCGTGATACTAGTAAAAGTGCGCTGGATGTAAAGCCTACATATAGATCTAGGCATGCACTAGGCCTACCGCAGTTTAACTTGATTGCTCTCTAGCTGAACGTTCGGTCGTTCGTGTCTCAAGCTTAGATCAAGATTAATGTAAAGTTCCTAAATTAAATTAAAATAGATTAAGTTTTTGAATTCCATCGCCCAATGGCTGAGATGGCCGTCTCATTTAAAAGGGCCAGCTATGTCTTTATCTGATGATTGTCATGCACGATGTACATGTTTATCATCATGCTCCTCGCATGTAGGCTGCTAGACTAATATTAGTCGTTTCAATGGTGTTTATCATATTAGAAATGGCCAGGCGAGCGTGTAAAAAAAAATTGCGCGCCCTGGCCTGGGCTTCACTCTTCAGCGAATTCGCCTTGTGACTCGTGACATTGTTGTTATTGCATGTAACTGCTCCTGCACTTATACATGTTCAAGCTTATCTAAGATACTGTGTTACTTAATACTTAGTAGCACTCTGTTGATAGTACTAGTAGTAGTAGGCGAGTAGTACTAGATCTGCATACTAGTAGACCGACAATACAACTCACGCAGAAAACAGTGCGTGGGACTGTAATGACCTATCTCGCCATTTCGTAACTTGATATCCGTTTAGAATATGAGTTTGTTTATACTGCTACAGACGATATTATTGAACGATGCATAACATTGTTTTAAAATAAGTGAAAATAATTACCTAGGGCTGTCAGATTCCTCTAACAATTCCGCCAGAAGCACCGGCATCTGTGACAAAGGCTTCGCGGAGCCGGTTCGTGTACGATTATCAATAGCAGACTACATTTGCGCGTAACAGGCCACTTCGTGAAAACGGTGTTTGCCAGTTGTACCGCTTGTGATACGTTTCGTGACGTCACGTATGACGTAATTAAGCAAGATTAGACTTTGAAAATTACTGAAGTTGTAGACATTTATATACATTGCTCAAAAACGGTCAAAACTCGAAATTAAAAATTTCAACGATTTTGGCCACTGAGGCCACTTCGTGAAAACGGTGACGATATGACCAAGTTATGATCAATTGTGATGAGTTTGGGTTTGCCGAGTGAAATGTTTGGTTTATGGGATTAACATTTTATGCATGAGTGAACAGGATTTGTTTTATTGTAGCACTGTAACTTCCCTGGTAGACTCAGTGGTGTGTTCATGGGAGTCAGGATGGGGTGATGGTACATGTTGTAATTTCCATGTTACAAACTGTTATTCTCTTACATCTGTGACTTTGAATAAAAACCTTCACCCCACATTTCAATTATTTTAAGATTAGTTGAAAATCTCATTGATTTACTCAATACCCAGGGTGGGATAATGTAAATTGAATATTCAAATACGGTTTGTTGAAAAAAGGAATGTCCAAGATGTCGGCTACTTATTCTTCAGGTAAATGGTAACTGAAATGTGGGGTGAAAATTTTTATTCAAAGTCACAAATGTAAAAAATAACAGTTTGTAACATGGAAATTACAACATGTACCATCCCCCCATCCTGACTCTCATGAACACACCACTGAGTCTACCAGGGAAAGTTACAATGCTACAATAAAAGATAAAATTCCTGTTCCATGCATAAAAGTTTAATAAACCATGAAATCGATCACTCATCAAATCATGAATGTATCATATCACCCTCAATGTTGTAAGCTCCAAAAGATTTACCTTTCACAAATTGGAAGGCTAATTCCTGCGCAACCTAATTTTCATACCCTTTACAAAAGTGAGCAGTGCTCACCCGAGCATGAATTATTTTCGCAACTTTTGGTGTCATATGAAAGTTGAGTTTATGAGTTTTCCATACATATATAACTTTTCCCCCTAGAATCATATATTTGTTATTCGGTAGCCATTTCAAAAGTGTATAGTTTTTTTCGGGACACACTGTATATCGGCTACATATCGCTATTTCGTGGGTTTGTTTCAGAAGGTTCCTAAAATAATTCCGAAGGTTCATTATCCGAAAATGGAATAGGGTTCATAATTCCGAAAATGAAATAGGACCCTGTATTGTTTTCTGAATTACGAACCTTAATTTGGACCAGCGAACCCTCCTTCATTTTCGGAATTACAAACCCGATTTCATTTTCGAAATTATTAGCCCGATTTCATTTTCGGAATGATGGACCCTTTTTCATTTTCGGACGGTATTAAATTTGTCATAACGAACCTACTGAGTATTGCATCAAATATTCAGAATTATGAACGCTATTCAGTATTCAATACTCGGAATAAGGAACCTTCTGAAAAAAGAGGAACCCACAATATCTCGAATGCATCACGTGATAACAATGATTTGATAATATTACCTGTCACGGTTTTACCTCCAACACCACGGCCACCAGAGCGAAGAGTCTCTCCCTGAACGTGTCAAACAATTACAAACAGACGTAGCAAATAAATGCCACATTTAAACTTTTAAATAATCCTTTAAAAACAAATATATATTTCACACGGTCACAAACACTTTCGAAAAAATCAACTCCAGGGAAATTAAAATATCCTTATTTTTTGTATATATTCCATAGAAACCATGTCCGAATTACATAATACGTCATTGCGCTGTTCACACATTCAACATAGATGACGCGCAAGGCTCTTGAAGTTGCCGCTTTTTTTTTTTTTTTTAGGGGGAGGGGTGATATTTCGAAAGTCTTTGTGTTCGTGTTATTTTTAGGATGTGAAATGAAATAGAAATCAGGAGTGCACCTTAAAGTAGCACTCAAAGTTAGACCATCATCTCACAATATGAAATATCTACAAAATGGCTACATGAATAGGGTGGGTGACGGGGGTGGGGGGGGGGGGGTCACACCCCCCTAGACACATGTCCCCTCCTGGTGCCGCCATCGCAAATGACACAGTCTGGGGGATGGATATAAATCAAATAACGGTATTCTATGTCATTCAAGCAAAACAGCACCATCTGGCCTGACATTCATAATTAAATGTTGGCTCTTCATCATTCTGCATACACACTCATATTTTTTTTACAAATGTCAAATCGTGACTTGTATAGGGATCCCTTCAACAGCTGTAGGTTTATGTGGGTTTTTTTGTTTGGTTTGCTCTTAGCCAGCTCTTACGTTCATGAATTCGTATTGAATTTGAGACTTGATGATTATAAGAAGTCCTTTTGCTCGCAAATCAACGGGACGAGAATCCTGTTATAGGCTTATACTGGACACAAACGTAATCTGGATAACATTTTGAAGCTCGACACATTAATAACTCATAACACGCTCAAATGATCTACATAAAACTCATACATGTACGCATTCAGAGTAATATTGATTGATTGAAGAAAAACAAAATAATTGTTTGATCACTCACGTTAATGTTGACTACCAACCAGTGAAGCCATGGGGCTGCGGTAGGTTTGCTTGGGCTAGGGGCATCGGGGTCTATCATTAGAACTGAGTAGAATGAATCCTAACAGTGAAAACAAAGAAGCATTTTACAATGTGATTCCCCATGTCTTGTATTGTCTATCTGTAATTTATAAGGGAGTTTACAGATACAATCTGCGCATGGGCAGATAAAGGTCATTTGTACCAAAATGGTAAAACCCACAGAGATGAATACTGGATATTCGCTCATGAAAGTTATGTAACATTATTCATTTATGCACCAACGGTACATTCTATGATACGCAGGTGGAAATATTCTTTTCAAGAGGTCAAACAAAAGGTATTCATGAAGCACATCTAGGACTTTGGCAGTTTGAGATGCTCCAAGTAGAACTTCTCCATGTGTAAAAGATCTGTGGATGGGGTCATTTGTACCGTATGCTATCTGTAAATTACTCCCTTATTATAGACTTATAGGCCCGAATTCACAAAGGAGGTTTGTCGACAAACCTTGGTTTTCGTACGTCATAATTATGACGCGTTTTACGCGTTTTTTACAAACCTGGTTTGTAAAGAACAAAAGGAGGTTTGGCGAAACAAAAGGAGGTTTGAGCTCAAACCTTGCTTTGTGAATTCGGGCCATAAAGTGTGCTACATGGGCGACTTGTATCATGCTTTACTTTAGCACTATTTTGACCCCTCTTACTCCCAATACCCCATCATGGTTCTAAGATTACCCCCTGGACAATCACCCCCGGAAAATACCCCTAGAAAACTAAACCCCCAGAGACTATAATCCCCCGGAATATTACCCCCTTGCACAATCATCTCACCTACCCCCGAGGACAATTTCTCCCGAAAAATATACTTTTATTATTTTATTATCGGGGTGGACTTCCTCTTAAATGAACAGAGGGGTAATCGTCCTAGTGTATAATTTTTAGGGGGTGTAATTGTCCTCGGGGACGGTAATGTTCGACGGGGGGGGGGGGGGGGGGGGATGTCCACGGGGGTAATTTTCAGGGGGTAATATTGTCCTCGTGGATGGTTATTTTCCGGGAGTATAGTCCGCGGTGGGGTATAGTTTTCCGAAGGGGGTCATTTTCCGGGGTGTGATTGTCCAGGGGGTAATTGTCCCGATACTCCCATCATACCATGTATAACAACATATAATAAAGAAATCTAAAAAGCCTACTGTGTTTTGAATTGAATTAAACTACTTGTACTCTTACCGGGTCGGCATTTTCATATACAACGACAGGCGCTTGGCCCCCGGACTGTGAGCGGTCAAAGAGTCCGATAGGGAGAGGCTGTCCATGCCCGAACGACCGGTCACCCACACACGATCCATGTCTATGTGATGCGCAGCTGGCGCCTCGGAACTGCACAGTAAGGTCCCTTGGGGCAGCATCACAGTTAATGTCCTGTCCCCCAAAACTGATGTCAACAGCCAGGAGCAAGAGAAATGAAATACTGCCGATAAATCGCTGTTTCAACATTGTCATCAGTTGAGTTAGTATGTTGACGAGATAATGAGATCGAGGCTTCTAAACACACAATTTTATACCGGCGCCAGGCCAGCAGGGCTTTTATGGTGAGAAGTGGTATATGGAGTGTGGTCTGGAATGTTTGTCTCTAGCTTGCTAGCTCTTTATCAATTACAATGTTTACAATAAATATGTGTACACGTTATACACACGCGTACGACTTTGCTGAAAAAAAGGCGCGCGCTGGAGTATGCAAAATTGCTAGACGCGTAATTTACATTCAGAACATGTCATATTTTTATTATTCAAATGCGGAAAAATCTGGTGAAAATGCTCAAATGTTTTTTTTTCTTCAGGATTTCACTCCTGACTACTGAGACCGGTTTACTAAGATATGTATGGATGTTTCTTACCATGGGCGTAGATCTGTAATTGATACCTATTGTTCAGGGGGGGGGGGGGTGACCTATTCATTCATCCCCCCCCCCTGAACAATAGGTATTATGTAAGGATTGACGCCCATGTTTCTTACCAGGGGACCCAGTGACGAGATATTCCATTAACCTGTTATTCATGAATAAACTAAGTTCGAATCCAGTCTGCATATATTACTCGGTGCTATGTCGGGAAGCCTCTGGCAAGCTTTCAGGTTGTCAAGAACACTACCTTTGTTAAAAAAAAAAGTTGACATACAATATGAATATAATGTTAGTTAACCGGTATATTGCATATCTTAAAGAGGATTAGTTTATGTTTTATTTTGAGATAACTTTATATTAATTTGAAAATCTTAATTATAAATTGTGTCCACTTTTTTTTTCTTTATGCCAAGTGAGTATTCAGCAAACTTTCAACTTGGTTGAAAATCCATAATTCTTTAAAAACAAATCGAATGTAGAGGTCTTAAACTACTTTTGACAATCAACGAAAACATAGAGTATCCTAGGTGTATAGGCCTATATTTTTTTTTCTGACAGTATTATATTTAGCCTATATGCCTATAGGCCTAATTATGTTATCAAGAGCACTATTTCAAAAGTTAGTTGCATGGGCAATATGCACTCAAGTAACAAATGTTGATATGATAGGTTGAGACATACATATATATATATATATGCGGGGGAATCCTATTGTTTCATAAATTTAGAAACTTTTTCACGACTCTAAAATTTGTGGATGCCGGTCAGAAGTTAACTAATAATTAAAGCTGGATTAAAGCTGCTCAGGTTAGGCCTATATAACAAGCGAAAATGTCATCTGAAGTCATGGTGTCATTTGAGAAAAGACACCCTAATATATCTTCAGGTATTAACATTTCTTGTATTATTGTTGAAATATCAGACGGTTAGAACTTAGATCTATTTGGGGAGGCATTTTCATTTTTTTCTTGGAGACGCGCTGTAGGCCTATATCTCCCTTTGAGCTTTCATAACTAAATCTATTATTATTGCAAAATCCCCGCGCTTGATGACGTCATCGTACTCGTGGCTTTTCTGTTTTCATCTTTTTACGATGAGACATTGTTGTTTATGAGTGGGATTGTTACAATTTCACATGATAGTGATTCCAGGTGAGTGTTGCATGATGAAATGGGATAGACTGACAAAATTCTATAAAATATAGCGGGTTTTTCACGCCTTACGGACAGCCAAAACAATGCAGTGTGCTGTAGGCCTATCTTCATTTCAGTCCCACACGCATGTATTCATGTAATGGCCCTGGCTTTGCCTAGATCTAGCTAGGCTAGCTCAGTGAGCTAGCTACGCGATCGCGAATAATAATATTGATAATGATGTCATATTTTCAAGGAATTAGACCAGTCATATCCTGGCAAGACTCGCCGACTCTAAGCTGGTGAGCGTGGAGACTGTTCTCAATAATTCGAATCGTACCAACTACCATTAAATTTCTTCCAATCGGATGATCGATCTCGTCAATTTTTCAACACTCGACTCTTCATGCTCGGTCATTAGCGAGTTTTCGCACAGCGATGCAAGTGCTGACTACGGGGTATTTAAATGAATTTGCCACCCCGTACTAGCTCAACTCCCGACGCTAATATGGCTGAATACTGTCGTAGGTTTGGACGCTACGCGGACCCCCGCAAACCCCAGCTAAGATCAGTGTTGTAGAAGGCTGCGTCGCTAGTTGCGAAAACTCGCTAATGACTCGGTCAAGAGTCAAGAACCTAGTTTGCTCCACAAAAATATGAATGGCAAAATGAATGGCCTGATTTGTTCTAAGTTTCACTTTCGTTATCATCTGCGATGTGGCTTTCAAGTCTCTGAATCTTGACCGTTTACATGATTGTAGATCTACATTTGCAACCGAGCTTCCTCTATTGATATCATATTTGTATCGCCCGTATTAAAAAATGTTGTTTTCTTTTTGCTACACAGACTTCTCAATGACTGACATTATGAACACCGATTATAAATGGATTTTGTTTTCCTCTCTTTTTTCTTTTGTGTTAAAGTATATCCCTTTGAGTCAGGGGTGAGACTTGTCTTCTATTGAGCTGACAGTACATCTTGCCTAACCTAGCAGCATTCTTCAAGTCTCCAGCAAGGATGTCCGAGTCCTCCACCCCAGACCATGGCCTCCGGTCAAGGCTATCCTGCTCGTTTCTGGCCCAGCTGTGTGGAGACTATCAGGAATCAGACCTGGTCTGCCTGGACCATTCCTACTCCCGGGCTTGGAATGCTCATCCTAACGCCAGCCACGCCAAGCCTGCTCGCATGCTTTTTGTTCCCAAGACCCTCCGACTTCAGCCTTCCAAACGGAACATTGTGTAAGTAGCAACTAGCAAAATTATACTTACATGCAATGGCTTTTACGACACATGCTCTTGCAACAGTTTTTTGGAGGCAATATTCTACACTCATTTAATTCATTACTTCAACCCTAGATCAAACACGATTCATGTACATGTACCTAACCTACAGTTAGTTACAGCTCTAGATGTGACATCATTGCAAGAAGTGCAGGAAAAATGGGGTCTAGATGTACATGAAAACATAAAGCAATAAAGCTGTGGAAAGCTCTGAAACTCTGAAATTGAAATCATCAATTCATGAAATTGGCTGCAAGGAAATATCGGCATAAAATGATATCTGGAAAGAGCTGTTAAATTCTAAGGGGATGTCATCATTGCAATTACTTGTAGGGGGTAGGAAATAAAGGCATAAAATGATATCTGGAAAGAGCTGTTAAATTCTAAGGGGATGTCATCATTGCAATTACTTGTAGGGGGTAGGAAATAAAGGGTCTGTGCATTAGAGAAATTTTGCTCTAGGAAGCTTCAACAGAGTTCTTGTATGAACAAAGTATATAAATATTGACAGCTTTGAGGGGCACAGTCAAAGCTATTGCCCAAGGTGAGCTCGAAACTGTACCGTGATTAATGCAGTACTGATATCACAGAAGAGCAATAGTTTCAACTGTGACCCAGAAAATAAGTAGTCAATATTTTACTACCAGTAATACACAGTATCCCCTTTGTCAATTCTCAAAAAGAGATATATACAAAATATGCCTGTCAAAATGTATTTATTTATTGGGAAGCATTGCCCATATCCATTGTTTTACTTCATGTGCAACTATTGCATCCTTGCACTGTACTCGCAAGTAGAACTATGCATGGTCAATTTTTTTGCTACACTGCCCAGCAGTTAGTAGCAAATTTCATGCCTGCAGTTTTTGACCAATCAGAAGCCTAGAATCTTTGTACGATATATGTGAATCAAACTATTTATTTTACGATTATATAAAATGACTTATTTTCCACAATTTTACAGTGATGCTGACGCTGAGATAGATGTTGTATCAGTAGGTCAAACACATACCATGCCCTATGACCTTCAGAAAGCACAGTCTGTAATGAACGAGTGTGAGCGCTATGTCAACTTTGCACGGACAGACCCTGACGATGTACGTAGCGATGAGGATTGGGAGGATAAACTATCCAGGTACAATACATGAATATGATCATCATTCCCTTTCTTTTCCCCCTCATTTAGTTAACAACTAAATTATTTGTACCCTTACCAGGGTTGGTAATTGTTTAAGTACATGTGAAGAGTTGATTTCCACTGATTTTTGTTCTTCAGAATGTAACATGTTGAAGTATTCAGCAAAGGCCCTAATTTAACCAGTCCACCTTTCATTCTTGAATATCGAAAAAACACAAACTTTATCAAATTTTCAGGGGGTATGAATATTTTAGTTTTTAACTGTATATCCCTCTTTCTCTTCCTCCTCATTCTCATTCTCTCTGTCATCAGTCTCTCCATCATCATTCTTTTCTCTTTCTCCTGCTTCTCTTTCCCTCTGTTTCTACTTTTCGTTCTTCCGATTTGTTTTCTCACTCTCCCAGAGCTACCAAGTATCACGCATTAGGCGTGACATCACGCATTTCGAGGGTCTGAAAATGCTATTACGCACGACGCGCACGCTAGATTTTGAATAAACGCTATACCTTATACGTGTGTTATACCCTCGCACGCGCATTGCCGATCTTTGAACTTGGCGTCTCTGCTCTCCTCATCTTAGTACTATCCTATTGTCCACTTTCTCCTCCATCTTTTTTCTCCTTCATATTCTTCAACTCATAGTCCTTCTTTGTTACAACATTTTCACCTGTAATTGAATTTAAGTGGCACATTTCCTTTGAAAAAAAAGAAAGGCATGCAACAAACTCATGATCTTTGAGTATATAGATGAATTTATGTGAAATGCACTATTCTTGATTTTGCTGCATTGTTTTTTGTTTTTGTTTATGTTTTTTGGGGAAGGGGGGGATTTACTCAAGTGTAAAAGAAGCAAATTTATTTGTCAAATGCATGAATGGTTTTACATTTATGTACTTCATGTACCCCGGTAACATTCTGCTTCTCTCCTTCATTTTCTTCAGAGTTGGCTGGACAGCCCACCAGAGTAAACTCTTCAACAAGATTCTCAAGCATCTCCAAGCCAATCGACTGGCAAGACTGGCGTATGACAAGGTAATGTTCCATACCTACCCTGTTGATTCCGTAGGTTAACCAGTCAGGCTTTACGTGCACATTTGTGTCATGATATTATAAATAATGTATTACACCTGTATGTCATTATATTTGAAGAACATAAAAGATATATTCACAAGTGGAGGCTTTTGGTAATAAATACATATTTTTAGGTTGAAATAGTTTTGGCAAGAGTATTAGAAATTAGTGAAAATATAATATGATGCATTTCTATAATACAAACTACTTAAGTAGGGTAAATTCTGGCAACAAACTTAAATATTGTTCTTTACGATATAGACATCATTCTTCTGTAGTGTTCATTCAAGTCTCACACTTATCACAAGTACCCACCGTTGCCTTTAGTAAATATGCATACCAACAAATGTGTACTTGAAAATATTGATAGTCTATTTCCTAAAAATTCACATGATTTTATTTTCAATTTTCAATGGTTTAGGTGCCTAATGAGCCAGTGAAGAGGAGGATTCACGTTGATAAGTGTGCCAAGCTGGTACGACGGACCCTAGCTTCAGTAGGATGGGTACGTGATGCTACAAGAAATAAAGATGATGATAACATTCTGGATTTATGTAGTGCTAAATGCAACAAAAAAACTGTCACAGATATTATACAGTTGCACCATGTGAGAAAGGGGGGGGGGGAAGGATTGGGGAATCCTGAAAAGGACTGTCTGTATTCTTTCTTTCTTGAGTGTGTGTAGTCCTGAAAAGGACTGTTGGTAATCTTTCTAGAGCTTATAGTTCTAAACTATAGCGCCGGTTGGAGAGGATGGGTGGTAGGAGTGGCTTGACGTTTCGAACAGGTTGACTATCCATCGTCAGATGAGAGCAGGAAAAAAGAAAAAATGTTGGCAGTTAGAGAAAATTAAGCATTGAAAAATAAAGAGAGGCTGAAGCAAAGAAAACAATACATACATTTAGGAAGGAAAAGAGACTCAATATCAGAATTTGATTTAAAGATAGGTTTGATTTCGTCTTTCAGTGTAACTGTCCTTTTACAATCTGTGACATTGCTTTTCTATCCTCCAGGATCCCAAACTGACCCAGTGGCCCCTAGTGTAACTGTCCTTTTACAATCTGTGACAATGCTTTTCTATCCTCCAGGATCCCAAACTGACCCAGTGGCTTCATGGAGTCTTGGTGGACAACCTCAGTTCCTCGTTACTAGCGATCTATCTAGACGTCCTTCAGAACCTCAAGTCTAAGGTGGGTTCCTTGATTGCTTCCTTTGGTTGCATCATTTATTACTATAATTCATGTGATGAATGGAATGAATTGCATATGAATGCACTGCTGAAATCAGCAGCTTCAAATTATTAAAGGGATGGGTAACTTTGCCTCAGAGTCTAACAAAATCCTGGATTTGGGTCATGCTGCAATCATAATTATAAACCTTTAGGTCATACCTGAATCCCAAGACTTTTACAAGCCAATCGCCTGTCTGATTATCAAGATATCTATGATTGGAAATCAAAATTTCATTTTTTGTTTTCCTTATGGTTTTTATAACACTGTAGTCTATTGGGAAAAATGAGAATGGTAAAACCGGTCACTCAAAGATTTCTACTTGTTTGAGGCACTTCATGGCCATTTTGAAGCACAATTTTTTTTAGGGCTTCAATATTATACCATACATGTATCACAGACACTGATAAAATGTAAGGCCATGCATATCAGATTTAACATTGGTAAACGACGCCTTTAATGCTTTGCTGAGAATTCCAGATACCATGGTGGGGTTGCAGCTTACATAAAGGAAACAGTTAAACTTCTTAATTTTTCCCTTCATTGGTTACGGTGGAAAGTACAAATAGGAACGAGTTACACTACTTAGTATATCACAAAGCTTTTTCTGTTCTGTACATTTCAATGGTCTGTTAAAGTTGCCAAATGAAGTTTGTAATTCTAGAGCTTTAGAAGTTCCTTCAATTTGCCTGTAGCCCCTGTCCTTACATTTGTATCATGAAACTTGTTGTCCATGAACAATATCTACTGGATCTTTTACTTCTTCTACTACCACCTTAGGTTCCCACTCTGATAGATAAGATGGTGCACCTTACCTCCTCTACGCGGAAGGTCAACACGACAAGCTCCGAAGCCCTTTCTCTCCTCCTCAAGAGGCCATGGGATCCAGCCGTTGGTCTACTCAGCTTTCATAAACCAGTAAGTCTATAGCTCTGTTGTCTGTTCGGAGCCAGAACAGTGTTAATTCTGTGTTAAAGGGGGTGTAGCAAGACGAGACTTCATGTCTTTCCCGTAGCCTGACTCAATCGGGTATAATACGACTACGAACGACGCGACTGCAGTATTCACGTGCGTGCAACATACGCGAAACCGAAGCGTGAGGAGAACTTCGGTCTGTTTCGCGAACGCTAGCGGCACATGCTGACCATTAATTCAAGTCCATTCGTTTTCGTGCAGTTGCTACACCCCCTTTGAATTATATTCATATTTACATTATATTATATGGTATGGTGAATACCACAATTTCTAAACCACAAAGTCTGTCTCTGATGTCTGATGTCTTAAAATTTAGTAATCGCACCAAATGATAAGCGAAAATAGGTGACAGTGAATAGCCAGAGTCCCAACTCATTGAAGAATTGAATTTGAAACACACTCCTGGTCTAAAAGTTGAAAGAATTCATCTGGTTAAAAAGTATTAATCCTTCACTGAATAGGGACTCTGGCTATTCATTGTCATTTATGTTCGCTCCTGTGATCTTGAGGCAGCAGACGGATAGAAACTGTGTGAATAATCACTTGGCTTGAAAAAGTCCAAGAGCTTGCCTACTAGATTTTAAGGTGGAACAAATATTATGATTACCCCAACCAAAGAAAGTTTTTCTGTATCATATTCTTTATGTTTCTTCAACTATATGACCTCAACATTTTTTCCCTCAGAAAAAACTTCCAGGTGCCCCCATCCTCCTGATTGCCCCTGACGGCCCCGTCCACCCCTCCATGCCGCAGTCCCGCCGCACCAGGTACTGGAACTCACAGCTGGGCAACCTGGGTAAGGTGGTCCCGGTCACTGTCCATGCTCCGGAGGGTGGGGCAGGTATCACCATCGCACAGTGCCTGGAACACATGATAGGCTCAGTCAGGACTAAAGTGGCAGAGGTATGTAGGTGCATGAATGCAGGAATTCAGAGCTTGTTATTATCAAGAATACTGGGCCCTGTCTTACAAAGAGTTGCGATTGATCCAAATCAATCGTCGTAAGTCCTCCAATCAATCGCAAGTTTGCAGTCTCCTAGCTCTTATAATACATAGTTGCCATTGATATCAACTCTTTGTAAGATGGGATCCTGATCTCCCAAATGCCAAAAGAATGAGATTTAGTTACTCTATTGTTTTTCTTGAAATAAAAGATATTTATTTTAATAAATGATAATGATAGTAATAATAATGATGGCTTCTTATATAGAACACATGTCTGTCAGTGTCACACACCGTGATGCCCTGGCGCTCCGACATTATTAACACGGGTAATATTCATTCATGTTGTATTTTTTTGGTTTGGTGTATCAGTAAAAGGAAAGAACTGATATTGCCAATTTGCTGATTATTCAAGCCCTCTAAAATACTCCATTAACTTAATGAGTTTGTCTTGCATTGTGATTTTGACAAGGCTCAAATTCTCACGTAATGCATCAAATTTCACGATGAGTGTTGTAGAATTCTATCAAAATATACCTGCCAATAATCTGATTTGACAGCAAATAAATAGAAAGGAGTAATGAGAAGAAAACAAACTGGAAATCTTGTTTAACCATACCAATTATATAGAAAACAGTGTGCCATAAGTGTTCGCAAAAGCTTTTCAGTGTTTTGATTTTGTAGACATTTGTTTATATTTTGCACAATTTTACTCATGAAACCATTGGTGACAAATTGAGCTTGCTTTTCTGAAAATTAATGTTCATTAATAGAACTCCAGGGCATCGTTTTGAGAAACTGTCATAAGTACAAGCTTGACAACATCCATTGAAATTTGTGTGAATTTTGATACACAGGTTTCAAAGGCGTGGCGGTGAACTTGTGCTTATGATGGTTTAGTGAAACAATATCCAGTCGATTTTTAACTCATTACATATTCATTACCATGCTGTAGGTTGATACCATGTCTTAGACACAGTATTTTGACATGCATATCAATCAAGTACTCTTTTCTTTACCATTTTTTTTTAGCTGAAGACCAACTTTCACAATCGACCCATCGTATTGCTGGGCTGGTCTGTTGGCGCACTTGTTGCATGCCATGTAAGTTGATGAAAAAGATAATTTCTGTAAAAGATATTCATGCGTGGGTATAAAGTTGTTTATGCAGTAGGAAACTTGGCGATAACTTCATAACACTAAGCCAACGGGTATTACGCTCCCATGTGTACGTCTGTGTGCTGCCCTCTATATACCCACGCATGAGCAACTTTAATTCAGCTTCCACATTCATGTGCCTGTTATCAGTTGCAGATCTAGAGGGAGTTTCAAGGAGGCACAAGCCTACACCCCCCCCCCCCCTGTATGGGTGTATGAGGTTTTGCACATGCCAAATATATTTTGTTATGTCCCGTAGCCTGAACTTTAAAGGTCTTGAAGTGCCCCCTTTATTTCAAAATCCTGGAGCCATGAATGATTTTTGTTTTTATTGTTAACATCCTATACATAATGTAAGATTACAGGGACAATGTTATTAATTTAAACAATCAAAGAGTGGAAATTTAATGCATTCATTTTTTTTTGTACATAAATTAATGCACCATTTTCAATCAGTGATGTTTACATATAAAATGAAAATAACATTAGTTTGTAAAAGGAGCTGGATAATAAAAAGAACACAGGCTTATCAAGCCTAACCCTTAACTGCAAAACAAGAAATATGGATAACTGTGTGTGTCTGACTAAACATATCTGTTCTGTACTCTAAAGACTATCTTTTCTCTCCCCCTGCAGGTAGCTATTGTTGAGTCTGTCTCAGCAGTCATCTGCTTGGGCTTCCCGATGAGAGGCATCACCGGAGATAGAGGGGTAAGCAGGGGCGAGGATTTCTTTTCATGACTGGGGGAGAGGGGCCGAATGCGAGGGACAAAGGAGTATACCGGTAGTGTAAGATGTGCTTACATGATACCGACGGAATACAGATTTTCTACGATACTTCCTTGTACATTTTGAAGGATATTTTGCGAGGGAGCGTAGCGACTGAGCGACAAGATTTTTGCATGTTTGCGCCTGAAAGTGTGACGCAGTCTCTAGTCAGTATTTGGTATACATTTTTTTTGGGGGGGGGTTCTTTTTCAAATTTTCTGGGATCCCGGGATCGCCAACCCTGGAGGTAGGCTTGTTATGTTGATGAGTTTCATATCATTGAAAAGGTTTCATTACAAGATGCTGTGCCCTATTACGTCAGTATTAGTTGTTTCTCTCTTACCTGATGCAACTCTCTTTTCTTTTCCTTGTAGGACCTGGACGAGCCCCTCTTTGAAAGCAAGACCCCAACGTTCTTTGTGATCGGGCAGGAGTCGAGCCAGTGCAACCAGGACAGTCTGGAGGACCTGAGGGAGAGGATGAAGGCCGACACCACCCTGGTGGTGGTAGGAGGGGCAGACGATCGTCTCAGACTCCCCAAGGCCAAGAAGCTCCATGAAGGTGTCACCCAGACCATGGTGGATAGGTGCATCCTGGTGAGTCCGCCAGGGGGGTGTTTCACAAAACTTGTCATCAGTGACAAATGTTATAAGTTACTGAAATCCTTGCTTCTGATTGGTTATCAGCAGATTTGTCACTGATTTTTGTCATTTGTCATTGAAAAAATGCTTTGTGAAACGGGTCCCTGAACCCATTCTTTTCCTCTGATAGGGTGTTTATGTGCAGTTTCAAGTGTAATAACCATTACATTGTAAGTAACATTCCGAAAACCAAGTACTTTTTGTCCACGATGGGTAAATGAGTGGTCAGCTATATTTTATTAATGATCACACTTACTTTCATATTGCTCAAGTATAATTGAACACCAATCAGTTAATCATTTCAAACTTTGTGAGGTGTGAATAAAGGCTGATGAAAAGCCAAGTAAAACAGCTGCCAGAGCAAAACAAGCAAAATAATATCTTGTAACATGCAGGTAAAAACGTACCTGTAACACCTTTGGTGCCTGCAGCTGGTAGTTTTTATGCCTCCGTTACGAAGTAGCCGGAGGCATTATGTTTCGGGTTGTCCGTCCATCTGTACGTACGTCCCGTTCTCGTGATCGCGTTATCTCAAGAACCAATATATGTATTCTCTCCAAACTTGGATCAAGTATGTATCTCACAGAGCCAATGAACTGACTAGATTTTGGGGTCACAAGGTTGAAGGTCAAAGGTCACAGTGCTCATTATGTATGCCAAAATAGCTCGTGATCGCGTTGTCTTAAGTACCATTCAATAGATTCCTGCCAAACTTGGGTCATGTATGTATCTAACAGAGCCAATGAACTGAGTAGATTTTGGGGTCACAAGGTTGAAGGTCAAAGGTCACAGGGCTCATTAGGTATGCAAAAATAGCTCGTGATCGCGTTATCTCAAGAACCGGTTGATGGATTCCTGCCAAACTCAGGTCATGTATGTATCTTTCAGAGCCAATGAACTGATTAGATTTTGGGGTCACAAGGTTGAAGGTCAAAGGTCCTTCTGTGGAGTGTTTCACAAAGACTAGGATTGACTTTAAGTTGGAATTAACTATGGCAAGCTGTTCATGCCACTGTTCGCTCTCTGTCTCACCATTATGATCTTTAGATACTATTTTTTCCCTCAATAATGAATTATTAAAATATGTAAATTCTGTAAATTTGTGACCATGAATTGTACGTTCCTAAGGAGACCAATGCCAGTAAATGGTGAGAGCAAACAGTGGCATGAAGGGCCTGCCATAGTTAAGTCCAACTTAGAAGTTAGAAGCGATCCAGTTGTAAAACTCTTTCGCTCTTATTGTAGGATGAGGTTTCAGAGTTCCTGACTGTGGTACTATCATCCACCTACCACGGAGCAGGAGATGCGGAAGGTGAACATCATCACCACACCAAGAAGAAAGAGAAGGAGAAGAAGAAGAGAGTTCAGCGGAACCTCTCCACTGAGATGAAAGGCAGGAAGACTCCTCCAGTGGCAGCATCTATCCCAGGTCGACGTTCCACCACTCCTTCAAGCCTTGCTGAGGTGAGTATTTTATTTTAGCCTGAAAATTCTGTAAGTATTTCTTATCTAGAAAGAATTTATATTCAAACCTCTCTATAAAGCCAATCATGGGAAACTTGAGTGAACACCATGGACAGGCTGCCTATATAGTGAGGTAACCACTATGACAGGTTAGACTGTATTTTATTTGGTTTCATTCTGTCATTCTATGCATTTGTGTGTAATTATTTTTTACTGCCATTTATTCAAAATTGTTACCAAATTTAATTTACAATATGCCTGGATAAATACACTGATGACCTGGTGGAGTTGAAAAGATTAAAGTTCAAAAGTGTAAACAAATCTGTGAAGAACTTGTAATATCTTGAGAATCACTAAAGCAATTTAACCTAACTTGACTCAGGATACATGTATGTACAAGAATGAAAAGAGGATTAGATTAAAAGCTAATAATTACTTATTTTATGTTTGCCATGAGATGCACATGTACTACAAACTACTTACGAGTTAGATCTTTTTTCCTTCAAAATAGTGTGTTTCATGAGAAGGATGTTAGCTGTGACATATTGACACGTCATTCTTTTGTATCTTCTCAAACAGCATGGCATCTCCAGCCTTCCATCGACTCCAAAGGCCACCAAAGCCAGCACCTCCCGCACACCTACCCCTACACCCATGCTGCCTATCACCTCCTCCTCCTCCTCCAGCGCCATGATAGCCCCACCACCACCACCACCTGCACCCCTAGGGCCCACCTCCACCAAGCCCCACTCCGCCCCTCCCGTCATGCAGTTCACACCCTCCGGCCTCAAACCCTCCGCCTCCTCTTCTGCTCAAGCGACGCCCACCCAGAAGACCTCGTTCGCTGCCGCGCTCTCATCCGGGAACCAGGCCAAGGAATTCAGTTCGCAGTATGCAGCGTACCTGGCCCGGGTGGCTAGTCAGAGCAAAGAAGAGAAGACACCCAAGACCAAAGGTTCGGTCAGGTTTGGAGGCCCGAAGGCAGCAGGTACACACGCTGGCACTGAAGGTAGGCTTTTTCTGTGGATACTCGTCTTAAAGGTGGTGTGTCCCTTTGGCAGGCTGAAAATATAACTTCTGTAAATCCTATGGTAAATGAGAGATAATACCAACTAAAAACTCCTCTTGAAAGATTAGGACTGGTAATTGCCTCTATGTGGAATTATATCGACCGTTAGAAATGTTCGTAATGCGCTCCTAAAATTATGCATATAAAGTAAAACTATCTGATTTTCTGACCCTTGTACCGTGTAATATGATAATCACAAGAAGCGGGTTATAGATGTGTACAAAACCTCATATCCTTTACAGCTCATTTTATTTATATTTGTTCCAAAGAAAATGAAAGTCAGTCAGTCACTCAGTAGTGTCTGACAGTGAAGTCTTGAAAGTTAACGGGTTTACTTGTATAATTTGAATATGAGGACACTGCTAACGTTTAAATTTCACAGATAGGACATACATGACATATTCATAATTCATGCAAAGTTCTACAGAATTTGATGTTGGCTTCAAAAGGGATACACTACCTTTTATCTGTGATCTCTTTCATGGAGTGATTAAAAAGCACATTACTGTAAGCCTTGAACAGAAAAGAGTGGGGTTTTTTATAGATTACAGGAGGAAGTATCTTTCTTCGAAATACAAGTTGAAATTGATCTTTATTTAATTCATCATAAAATAAAATACTAATGCCTAAATAGAGGGGGGGGGGAAGTTTGTCCGTTTAAAAAGATATATATATGTATATATTTCAAATGGTTATTGCAACACTGTAAGCAGTTACTACATGAACATGAATTTACAAATGAAGTAAATAAATTGTCAATAAAATGTCCATTCAATGCTATGCTTCCTGTAGTTTATGTGTAATGCATGTAACCATGCCTATTTACATTTTTTGTGTGTATTGCTGGATTAGGTGATACAAGATGATTTTAGTTCACAAGGAATAATAGTAAGGCTCAATGATGGGGTCAAATGTATATGTTTTGAAAATGAGCATTTTTTTTCTTCCCACTATTGCTTGCAGGCATTGATGCTACAACCATTATAGTGAAACAGGCACCCAAGAGGAGTGCCACTCAGAGCCCAGCTACTGTACGACGGAAGCAGGTGAAGATGGCTGACCTGCCAATCATCACCAGGGGCCAAACGGGCAGCACTGTCTCTGTGTCACCATCCCCTGCACAGATTAAAGGTGTGTCTATTCACAACCCCACCCAGAGCGGCAGGCCTCCGACCACATACACACTTGTTTCAACTACGCTAAGTTCTCAAGGTCCTGGATCATCGACGAGCACCACAGTGCAGGGACGACCGGTTGCAGGAACAAGGGTGACGATTGATTCTGGACAGTCCTTGACTCAGCTGCAGCAGATGGGTGTTGTGTCTTCGGCATCGTCCTCGTCTGGTGGATCGCAGGGTAGTCTCCTGCATGGCTTGAGCTTCAACATCCAGGGGAGTCAGCTGAAGGAGACATCCGGTGCCCAGATGAGAGTCCTGGAAGGCATGTTCAGCACCAAGCAGGGCTTTGGACAGGCCCTGACTAGTGCTGAGACAGGAGCTGGCAAGACAAGCGGACCCTCAAAGCCATCAGGTCCAAAGGGAGCAGGTTCGGAGACAACAACGGTATCATCCTCATCGTACTCTGGCAAGACGTCTAGCGTCCACTTCTCTGTAAGTGCCAACTCTGACGTGAAGACATCCAGTCTGGCCATGCACCTTCCGCACCTGATCTCCACCGCTCTGAAAGCAGCACAGTCTGCCCCAGCCAAGTCGACTTGTGTCACTCTGGTCACGACTAAAGCTCCTCCAGTCATGGCCAGGAGTTCTGGAGTCAAGTCCAGTACCCCATCGGGTGTCATCACGGGGAGCAAGTCCTCCAAGGTCTCATCGGATGTATCTATCTTGGGTCTAATTGGGGCTCAGCAGATTACCAGCACTAGCTCCAAGTCTTCAAAGAAGTCTTCGAATGAGGAAAGAGATGCACAGGTGCAAGCTATTCAGAAGCTGCAGTTTCACGACTTCCCACTTACCACAGCCTCTTTGACTGTCACACATAGCACTCAATCAGTTACACAGGCAAAGATCCTCAAAAACCTAGAGCATGGCTCTCTACCCCTCACCAAATTAGAACCAAGTGTCTCAGGAGGAAAAGCCACTTCGCAGTCTAAGACCAGTTTACAGTCCAAGTCTATTTCCCATTCGAAAGCTAGTTCCCACTCAAAGACGATCACACCCGCAATCATCACTAACAAACTGCCTGCCAGAGAGTCTTTGAATAAGGCTGCTGCTGCAGGCAAGATAGTCACTGTGTCCTTAGGATCTTCTTCAATATTGACAACAAGCACTTCCGACAGCGTAAGAGAAAAGACCATGCCGGACACTGATTCTGTATCATTGTCCAAACTGAAGGGCGTGAACTCCAAGAAAAGCCAAAGCCCCCAAAGTGAAGATAGCTCCCAGGCTGTAGTCGATCTTGACACTCTTCCTTTGGCCAAACTCAAGGAGCATCTGAAGGAGAGCAAGTCATCATTTAAGACATTATCAGCACCCGCTACAACCACCATCAAGATTGTCTCCAGGCCAAAAGATCCAGTCATGTCCATGTCCCAGAAACCTAAGCTGTCTGCCTCAGCCCCTTTCATTGCCCTGTCCAGCAGCCTCAAGGCAAGCACCGAGCGGGCCGCGAGGGCTCAAAAGACCGTCATGGTCACGACTGCATCCAGACCACCCACACCTTCATCGACCGCAGCAGGAATGACCACCACCACCACGTCATCCATGTCCTCACTGGTATCCACACCAGGTTTGACACTCCTGACCTCTACCGCCGCATCCAGGCAACCATTATCCAGCCCATTCCTGGTGGAGAAGACATCCAAAAGCTCAGAAGCGGAGGGATCACGCGAGTCTGTTGTGACTGTCCAACCGTCTGGTAATAGTCGTACCAGGCGGGCCAGGGCCCCAAGACAGCTCTCGGAATGATAGATAAATGTAATGTACATTGAATGTATTTAAAAGTGTAAATTATGTAAGTATATATTTGCACATATTGTATATAGACTCATCTGTTGAGAACCTGAATGGCATTAACTCTGTATTGAAGTATATTAGTTAACCCCCCCCCCCCCTCTCTAAAACTTATCAGGCTAATTGTCAAGACACTGTTCTATGATTGTTATAGAAATGATATCCTCTTCCTGGGCACATTATGTTTTATGTGCCTTTAATCTCACATTAATGTAAGAATATGGATTTTGCTGTAAAGTAGCTCAAACACATGACATATTTTTGCATGTGCAGTTATCATGTTTTGTTTTTGTGTGTGTTCTTAAATCTTAATGGGTTTTTATGCCTCCGCCACCGAAGGTGGTGCCGGAGGCATCATGTTTTCGGGTTGTCCGTCCGTACGTCCGTCCGTACGTCCGTACGTCCGTCCGTACGTCCGTCCGTCCGTCCGTACGTCCGTCCGTCCGTCCCGTTTGACCGTTATCACAATATCTCAAGAACCATTTAAGATTTAAACTTAAGACTCGGGAATAGTATTTATCACCATAGGAAGACGATCTGATTAGATTTTGGAGTACGTAGGTCAAAGGTCACAGGTCACAGAGGTCAACTTATGAAATTCCTTGTATTGAGTTTGTTAGCGCGATATCTCAAGAACCATTTGAGATTTAAACTTCAAACTTAAGGATAGTATGTATCACCATAGGAAGACGATCTGATTAGATTTTGGAGCATGTATGTCAAAGGTCAAGGGTCACAGAGGTCAACTTATGAAATTCCATACATTGAGATTGTTATCATGATATCTCAAGAACCACTGGAGATTTAAACTTCAAACTTAGTGATAGTGTGTATCACTATAGGAAAACAATCTGATTAGATTTTGGAGCACGTATGTCAAAGGTCAAGGGTCACAGAGGTCAACCTATGAAATTCCATACATTGAGATTGTTATCATGATATCTCAAGAACCACTGGAGATTTAAACTTCAAACTTAGTGATAGTGTGTATCACCATAGGAAGACGATCTGATTAGATTTTGGAGCACGTAGGTCAAAGGTCAAAGGCCACAGCGCACATTATGAATGCAAAAACAGCTTGTGATCGCGTTATCTCAAGAACCGATTGATGGATTCATGCCAAAATTAGGTCATGTTTGTTACTTGCAGAGCCAATGAACTGAGTAGATTCTTGGTTCATAAGGTCAAAGGTCAAAGGTCATGGGCCCATTATGTATGCAAAAATAGCTTGTGAACGCATTCTCATTAGAACTGACAGATGGATTACTATTTAACTCAGAACATCTTGCAGAGCCAATGAACTGAGTAGATTTTATGGTCATGAGGTCAAAGATCAAAGGGTCATATTTTTATATGTATATGAGAAATTGCTTGTAATCACAATATTCTGAGAACCTGTCAATGGATTACCATTGAACGTGAATTCAATTTTTTTTTTCTGTTTTGGTTTGTAAAATTGCTCTTTAACGGAGGCATCATTTTCGACTGCGCGCAGTCGAATTCCATCTAGTTTAATATTTGTATTATTGCTGTTACTATTGACATATTAAGACAATCATGTTCATTTTTGTTAACAGTTTATGAATTTAGGAATCAAATAATATGGAATACTCAAGCCAACCCTACATCAGGCCAGAATTTAAGCTCTGACATTGCAACATTTTGCATAAAATTGTTAGATGGTTGTAAATATATTTGTTCAAATTCAACACACCTATATTGTATTGCTGTGCATGGAGCTTGGGAGCTTGCAGAGTGGAGTAGGAGCCTCGATTTGAGTTCCATTTGGATATATTCATGGACAGAATTTAAAGAGAAGGTTAAGTTCTGGGAAGAAAAATAATTTGTAAGTGTTTTCATTGTATTATGCAAGTGTGGAGGAACATCTGATATCAAATGTGGCCTGAAAAGCATGGCTCTTCAAATGCTATAATATTCTAAATATGGCATGTAACATCATAAACGTCCCATATACATATTTCTGTGTACAGTGCTTGAAACTTTACCAAGACTGGGCCAATTTTCTTATCATTTTGATGATTGCAGAACCTTGCAGTTTAGTGAGTATACACACCAATACTTATATGCTAGATGGTCAACCTTTTCTTAACGATTCCACACTATTTCTTTCAAAATGCAATCGCATGACCAGAACTCAACTTTATCTTTAAAACATCTCCTGCATATATCCCTTCATACACATTGGACGATATAAGGCTCGTGCAATCTTGTTTTCACAACCAGAACTTAACATTACGGTATCTTTGTGCATTTTGAAATGTCCAGTGCTCCAGGCACATACATTTTCTACTTGCAAGGTTGTCCCAAGTATACATACAGTGTCCATGTATCCATAATTGTGAATTTCATGTTGTGCAGTTTGCGTTGAATTTTTAGCTGCTTTGTTTTCATGTGTTGGCCTAAATTATAACCACAACATATAATGATTATGGTATAATATTTCACACATTTGAAGCCCATCTGCACTAGTTTGGGCAGGTGGGATTAGACCTCCTTGCAAGGTCACTGCCAGGTGGTTATCTCATCAAATCGGTTCTCAATTAACACATGCATGTATAAATGCTGATATGGTATCAGTTTACATGTTTAACATGATGTAGTTTTCACTTCAGAAATTGTTGATTGAAAATTAACTATTTAGACGCAAGAGAAAGCCAATAATGTACATGATCTTGAAATGTATGCCATTTGGAGTTTTACCAGGCTTTGCCATTTTGCGAAACCACATCTTTGAGTTCACAGCGCACCAAGTATCGTATGTTTGTAACCACAATGTAAAGCACACAAAAACATTACAGAATACAAATTATGCTTGAAATTGGGGTTTCCACCACAAATCAACTGAAGATGTCTGGGGTTATATCCAATGTTCGAAGGGAACATATTTTGATGTTTTGCTGGTTGTATACATTGTATTAAAACTATTCATTACCTGGAAAGTCTTGTGAATCCGTCTTTTTAAGTACCTGTGTTGCTTGCCGTGAATACAATTTATTTCCATGAAGAAATAATGCAGACCATATCTTGCGAGGTATTTTGATAACGGGGCGTTTCACAAAACTTGAAATCAGTGACAAATGACAGTTTTTGTTATAAGCTACTGAAATCCTTGCTTCTGATTGGTTATCAACAGATTTGTCACTGATTTTTTGTCATTTGTCATTGAAAAACGGCTTTGTGAAACAGGTCCCAGTTCTCCATTCAGGCATCACGCAGCAGCATTCGTATGGAGCAGTACTATTTTTGTTTCAAGTACCCAGACTTGTTTAAGCAATTTGTTTCTTTTTAACATAACTGCCACCCGTTTCATATTTTGGAGGAACGAGTCCTCCTTTCTCCTGTTTCAAAGAAAAGTTATGAATCCTATATTCATCTAATTTTCTGAAAGCATCTGTATAAAAACATACAGAGTACTCTTTCCTTATTTTGGCAAAAGAGAATCCTAAATTTCGATTTGGAAGTTGGCAGGTATGTTCTGGTAGGGAGAATGAGGTTGTAAAAGGTTAAGGTAAATTAAATAATTAGCAGCCATTAAGTAATAATTTTCCCTTTTTATTTGTTTTGGGCTAGGGAGGGAACGTGAGAGAGGTTGGAGGGTAAAGAGAGACAGAGATAGCGGGAGAGGAGGTGGAGGGGAGAGAGCAAGAGATGAGAAGAAAAACAGAAATAGAAAAGAAAGAGGGGTAGGGATTAGATGGTGGGGTGGATAATTGGGGTCTTTTCACCTGTTGTCTTTGCGTGAGCTCAAACACTTCACCTCTCTGCTTGTTCAGCAACCAATACGAATTCCTTGTCATCGAAAGATGAAACGAAATTTCCACCCACATATTTGCAAGAGTGTAACCTTTTAAAAGCATATGGTTATGATTTGATTGGCCAGAATATAGAGGAATGGCGCACACAACTATTTAATATGCTTCATGTTAAAATGCTTCATCTTCGCCAGTGTGACCTTCAGTGATGTAGAGGTCTGCACTATAGGGCGTATTTTATTCATGAAGATGCGCTGCGAGTATCCAATGAAGCGGTCAGGGGATGAGAAATATGCGAGATATCTAGAGAAAGAGGATGGTTGATGATGATAATGGTGGTGGTAGTGATGGGGGTGGTGTTGGTGGTATTGATTGGTGGGGTGGTGGTGGTTGTGGTGTTGTTGTTGGTGGTGGTGTGGTGGCGTGCGTAGATGATGCTGGTGGTAGTGGTAGTAGTGGTGGGGGTGATGGTAGTGGTAATGATTATTTATTCCAGCCTGCAATTCTCGAAAATTCTAATTTCATTTCTTAATATGACGGGCGTGCTGCTAACTTCGTTTTATGAATAACATATTTTATCCATATCCCCAAAAAGAAAAAAGGGGAGGTCGAGAGAGCGATGATGATGGCGAAGACGAGGCATATTTAATCTCTTTTTTCTTTTTTTCCCTTCTTTTTGCAACTGCTTATATAATAAGCATATTAATCCGATGAATTTTTTGATGGAATGAAATATAACAACGAAAGATAAAGGTCCATTGGTATTGTAAGTGGATGGATGGGAGTGATGGGGAGAGAAAGACAATGATGGATACAGAATGTAAATAAGAATACAAAGGGAACTAGCATAATTAGAAGAGGGGAGAGAGAGAAAGGAGGACGAGAAGAAGGAAGAGAGATGGGGAGGGAGAGGAACGGGAGAGATAGATAGATAGATGATATATATATATATAGAGAGAGAGAGAGACAGACAGACAGACAGACAGACATAAAAAGAAATAGTATACAACGGAGATAACGTAATGACCACATCAGTATCCCTGCATTAGCATAATAGACGCGATTTGGTATCATTCATTATGTACATGCAACCAGGGTTGCCCTGCATCCAAACACATCATTTTTAGGCACCAGCTGCGGCAATCAGCACACTCATTCTTCTCATCGACCACTAACCATCGACCAGTATCATCATCGAGACAGCCTAGTTTTCTATCCAATCCGTCATTAGTTTCCTTGCCTCCTCCTCTCCTTACGTTACCTCCGCTTTTCCATCTCCGTCACGTCTGCTGTTGTGATGTCATTCTTTTTCATCTCGTTTTTTTTTGCTGCTCCTCTCTCCTTTCCCATTCTCTTCTCTTCTATTTCAAATTCTCATCACTGCCTTCTCCTACATTCTCACCCTCCTACCACCTGTCTCCATTCTTTTTCTTTTCCTTTTTAACGTTGTTTATTTCTCAGTCTCTTTCTCTGTTTCTGCCTTCGCTTTTCTCCACCACCACCGCCAACATCATCGTCGTCACCATCCTCATCATCACGCATAGATTGTTATCTTTAGCTTTATTGTATTATTTATCACTAGGGTCCCAGTAATCATCATCAATATCATCATCATCGTCATCAGTACCATCACATCTCAACCCAGTCAACCACCCCCTCTTTATCTTTTTGTAATTTTGTTTCACATCAGATGGAATTTACTATTCTTCCATCTTCATTAACCTCATCCTTGCACCATCTTCCCATCCTCCTCCTAAATGCCCCCATCCCTCGCTCCCTCCCTCATTGCGCTCTCTTATTCATGAGTATGCAACCCGGGGTTAATCAAGCGAACAGGGAAACAGTGGCGTGATGAAATACATTTGGCCTGAGAACGAGGTCCAGCTTCATCACCATCGCTTCATCAACGCCTTTCCTTCGTGCCAGGTGTTTCTCGCTCTCCTCCTGGTATAAGGCCCCTGTGATGCGCTCCCAACTATGGCGAAGGAGATATAATAGATGAATAGGGAGAGATAATGAATAGACAGCCAAAGGGAGAGTGGGGAAGGGAGGGAGGGAGAGATAGATAGAGAGAGGGAGAGAGAGAGAGAGAGAGCGAGAGAGAGAGAGAGAGAGCGAGAGAGGGGGGAGGGTAGCTTGAGAAGGAATAGGGTAGATCTAGTGAGAAAGGCAGATTACTACACAACTGAGAAATTAGCGGGGAGGGGAGATAGAGAGGAAACAGATTGGAAAGATATTATTCAGTAACAGTTGAACAGGAAAAATAGCATAACTGAGAAGGCAAAAAGAGAGAAGGAAAAAATATAACAGGGTGAGGAATAGACAGAGAGGGGGCGATATTTCAGACGAATGTGTCCCCGTTTTACGCTCGCAACCATTCTGAACTAATAGGAAGGGGAAAATTAAACGGGAAAGACGCATGAGACGAGTTCAATTGTCATTAAATAATATAGGTACTTTTATTCTCGATAATACGAATGAATCAATGCAACGACACCATGGACAGCACAAACAATAATCATATAGTGACCAATACAATGGGCACCTCATCAATCAATCAAATTCTTGACGCATCTTAACTCATCGACTACTGAATTCTCTCTTTCCCTAGGATTAATACAGGAGCCAACAGGTTCCAGTAGGCAATGGGTTAACCATTATATCCGTTGCACACGAGGCGTCATTTTGTTGACGCAGGACTACGTCAGCGCCTGACGCCGTCTTTAATGCGGCATGTAATATTGACGCCGTGCAAAATTTGAATGTAAAATGCACCAATTGAAATGGAAACCACGCGTTGAATCATTGGCGTATGCATTTACATTGTTTATTAGCGCAGATAATAACGCAATCAAAATAACGCCACGTGTGCTAGGGTCATATGCCATGTGGAGATATAAGGTGGGGGCGGTGGACATTATACATATAAATATGTTATTTAGTTCAACCTACACTAGCCAAAGTTAATAATAATTAATTCAATTCCTAATCATGACTATGAAATAATTATTTGCGTATGATATAGATACATGTACTGTCATTTTGGACGGCGAACCAACTTTAGAACAGTGAATTTAATTTTAAAGAGTACCCATTGATTTTCTGAAGAACAATCTGCATCAGAGTGCGACAATTACTGTTTTTCTGAGTTCATGCAAAACAAATATGAAAAATAGCTGGGACTGAACATTACTTCAAAGACTTGGAAGGGGTTACTGGTTCATGATTTAATGACTTAATATTAAAGGATTTTGATGTTTGAATAATATTAATGAGAGTAGCATAAAATTCTTTCCGACATTCAATATGTTACCATCCCTCATCTAATTCAGAATGATGATAAGTTATGCAATAATAATTAATAAAGTATTCTTTATACACATTACATTAGAGAATGGTATTGCAGTAGCTGTTCTCTTATGAAACTGGGCAAAATAAGAAACTTTGCGCAAGATTTGAACTTCATCTTTTTGGAAAGTTTGCAATATTGTTGTTTTACTCAAACTATGTCGAATGTTACATAACATTTGCTTACTTCGTGAAGTCCTCACATAATTTATGAGTAACTTTGCAAAAACATTTTGGAACTCATATTTCACCAAAGAAAATTCCCTTTCCTCATGAGTTCCTCATGAAATGAAAGGTTAACTCTATTTCTTCAAATTGGCATTTAGTAAAAGGAACAATTCATTGAAATGGCGTATATCTAGCGTGACTACGAGTTATTATTTGAATGTATTTTGAAGAATGCAAAAATGCAATGACGTCACTCCATCTGGAGCTAAAATATCTCAAAGGTCTTTGTCTAATGATTACATTTCTGCCATTTTGCAATGTGGCAGTTATTCTATAAAATACAACTCGGTTCATTCCTAGATATACATTTACAACTTTCTTTGAAAGATATGTTCACTGAAATATATGACTCATTTGGTCATGAGTGTTCATCTAATCGGGTTCATAATTATACAAACAGTTCACATTTCCTCATTTTTAATATGACACAGAGATGCAAAATTTCAAAAGACGTACAAAAACTTGAAAATATAAAAAATAGAACGAATAAAGAGGTAGTTTGTAAAAATATAAAAGACAGGCTGAAAAACAAAATCACTTGGAGTGTGCCAAAGAAGTACACTGCACTGGTGCATAATATGACTTGGTTGAAAGAAAAGTACAACACTAATAATTTAACGAATTTGTAGTACCATCAATTGACATAGATGTTGAATCAATACTCATAAATACAAGTTAAATCCCCATATCTAAATATGGAGGAGATACTATATTAAATATCATCTAACATTACGAATATGATGCAATGGAGCATTAAGTTAACATAGCCCATTGCAAACTCAAGCAGCCTACTCAGTTGCACATGTTGAAAAGACTTGGTCTACTATTTATTTTAAGATGACCACCCCGGGTCCCCCCCCCCCCCCCCGGGAAAAAAAATATCTCAAGTTCACCTGTACTAAAAGCATAGGCTAACGTGGATTAGTCCGGATTAGTAATAGATACGGATTTATTTTTTTGGTATACACGATTGCAAGAAAGAGAGGAAATAATTGTTATTTTAAAGCATGATTATAACTCTGCAAAATAAATCTACAAAGCCTGAAAGAAAAACATACAGTCTAAAGGATTATGATCCTGGTATACAATTACATTGTGTACAGCAAATATTAGACATAAATAACAAGTATCACATTTTGAAAGAATTCACAGTGTAAATGAAGTAAATGAAAAACACCATTTACCTTCTTTAAGATCACACACATATACGTTTAATTTACTTCATAATATATTTTCAAAAACACATTGAATGCACTTTCATCTTAAATGGCGTCCATGAATACAACTTGTCCAATATCCAACATGTCACAATTACTTACTAATTGGTCCAATCATAAGGATAATTATGTTTCACGATATAGTTACAGTATCTGTTCATTTCTCTTCACATAACGATCACTACACTTACACCATGAGGTTACAGTTTAAATATTTTACTATCGTGACAGCCAGCAATGGCGTATCCAGCAGAGGGCATAGCCGCCCCGATATGCCTACAGTTTTGGATTTATTGAGTATTCAGGGGGCACTTTGCCCCCTTTCCTTTTTATCAATTTCTGGATATGCCACTGGTATATAATGTAATGACTCCTTTGACTGGGCCACCTGAAAGGGCAATACGAACATAGTAGCCAAGTATAGGTGTGTTCAGGTTTTAAACTTTGGGGGAATTGAACAAAACGAACAGAACGTTTTTTTTAAATCAACATTTATCTATAACTAATTTGTCAATTATATATTGATTTCCATATGCATATACCTAGAATTCTAGACTTTCAAAAAGTCATAACTTAATGGTTGAACAGAGTTTTTAGAGCCTCATCCACCTTTTTCTGTGAGCCAAGTTATGGTTTTGTTCTCTATCCAAATTTTATTTCAGATAGCCAATTAATGTACACCTGTAATACATAACAGGGCATCTCAAAAAGTTAAAGAAAATGTATCTCCCAATAAATATTCAACCCCTCCCCCACCCCAACAATATATATATATATATATATATATATATATATATATATAAAATTTTCTGTTCCTCCTGTCCTTTGCTATAAAAGACTCTTAGCTATCAAGATTTATCAACAACAAAAATTGAAATATTTATTTTGGGAAAACCTATTGGAAACTGTAAACTTTTTTGAGATATACTGTTGAAGGGCCATGCTTTCACTTCCTGTAGGGATAATGGCTTGGTTCTGCAATTTTTTTATCTCCTTGGCGAATGCTATTAGTACCAGCGAGCTTGAAACCTATGATCAATGATTCTTCGATGCAAGGGTCTTGCCTGAGGAATTAGATTTTCCTTTTCCTCCTGCCTGGTGCCAGCTGTAGATGATGGTAAAGAGCGCCTCCAGCGGCCTCCATCGCCTCCGCATCACTCCATAGGACCCTGTATTGGAGAGAGAAAATAGAGAAGGGGAGGGAGGAAGAGAGAGAGAGAGAGAGAGAGAGAGAGAGAGAGAGAGAGAGAGAGAGAAGCGGAAGCGGGATGGTGAAGATGAGGGATAAAGAAAAAAGGAAAGAAAGAAGACGAAGACAAAGGAAAAGAAGACGAAGACAAAGGAAAAGAGGAAGAAGAAGAATAAATAGTTAATTTGAATATGGATGAATTTATAGTCAACAAGACCTGAATTAGATGCATTTTAATGAAACAATACGAAATAAACCATACTTCTTTATGGTACAACTAGAATTCTAGGAGATAAGAAAATAATACAGAGCCTCATAATAAAATCCACAGTATATCCCTAAATTGATAGGGCCTATAATTTGAAGTAGTTAATCATTCAGCTGCCATTAACTGGAATATTTTACTTACAGTAGTGACACAAGAACAGTAGTTTTACTACATGGTTTGCGACATCGTGTATCTAACCCCACAAAGAGAATGAGGTCATCGCTACACTATCAGACTCATTAAACATCGAACGTGACTGTTGCCTTCCATCTATCAGTGCAATATATTGTTAAACACCTTTCCCTCTTTAAATCACAATGCGCAATTTGGATGCAGAGATTGGAAAGCGTGGAAAGGGGACGGATGAAATAGAAATGAGATGGGGAGGAGAGGGAGAGAGAGAGAGAGAGAGAGAGAGAGAATGTGTGAGAGAGTAGGTTGAGAGAAAGGGGGAATGGTGTAATAGAAAGCTTTTCAACGAGATGAAAAGGGAGATGGAGAGGGAGAGGGAGAGGGAGAGGGAGGGAGAGAGAGAGGGATAGATGGAGGATCGGGAGTGTGAGAGAGAATATGTAGAGCAAGAGAAAGCGATGCGGAGACGAGATGGATAGGGAGAGAGATGGCGAAAGAGAAAAAGCGCGGGCACACCATTAGTAGTCATGGCAACCACGCGGCCATGTGGACAGATGTTTTCTTGCATCGCGTGCGAGCCCCGTCCCCCGGGCGATGGGCCGCGATCAATGCGCCAGCCGGGCGAACAGAAGAAAGGGCGAAAGCTCCAGCAGCCAGCAGCAGCGAGCAAGCAGCAGGCAGCACAAAAACAGCCCATCTATATACCTTGAATAATTAGGCGACCTGAACACTCGTCGCTACAAAATTACGCCACAGCAAAGACCAATTCAACTGGAAATTCATCCTTCTCCCTCCTCCATACACTAGCCCAATCTTAGCTCATCACTCGCTCACGCATCGCATTATTTACAATATTCAGGGAACCTGTTCGGCGGTTTAAATTAGCGAAATACATCTGCGCTCCCGTGTCTCTCTCTCCTTCTCGTGTAATCAAACGGTGACGGATGAAAAAGGGCAATATTGAATAATGGCACGATTTGATGATATGACTCGCTGATGACAGATAATGCCTGACCCAGTGCGGTTCGATGAGCATTGGTTAGATGGATAATGATTGCGCAGTGCAGGCCCTATATAAGAAATGAGAGATAATGGAAGTGATGATGTTGATGGCGAGGACAAAGACGACATCGACAATAACGACAGAAATAGAAGTAATGATGATGATGGAGAGAATGATGATGATAACGATAATTATATTGACAATAATATTGAAGATGTTAACGACGATGTCAATAATGAAAGTGTTGATAAGATGATGATGATGACGACGACGTTGAATATGTTGCTGATAAAGATCGTAATGCTTTGGTTATGTAATTATGGCAGCGATATTCGATGATGGTGATGCTGCTGCTGCTGATTTATGGTGAATATGATTGTGATGATTATGATGATGAAGATGATGATGATGGTGATACTTTGGATGAAGGTGGTGGTGTTACTGTTGAAGTAGTTGTGGTGGTGGTGGTGGTGGTGGTGATGATGATTGTTTGTTTGTTTGTTTTTATTTCCGAAATCCATATATACATACAAGTTTTAAAAAACATACATATAAAACACATTTCAAACGATAAGAAAGTAAGTAAATGTGTAAAGTATAGACAAACGGTTGGATAGCCCATTTCAGAACCATTTTCAAAATGGTCCAGTTCTTCCATGGGGTCCAAAAATGATGATGATGATGATGGTGATGATGATCAATGTCATACCATTTCTCGATTTTTTTTTTAATATAACGGGAATGAAGGTAGGAGGGGCGGGGTAACAGTGATATAATGACTGTTATAGTTGCCTACAATACTATTGTTTCCTTTAATAATCACGAGGACGGATGATAGTGGTATGAAGATGGACATGACTTTGAACGATAGGCTATGTAAATAATATCGTTCTAATGATAAAAATATTCCTTGGCCTGTAATCTTAAGACAGGTATTAGGAAAATGAAAGGCCTCCGGTTTTGGTATTCACAACATCTAATGACCGGATTGCTTGTAGCGATTGAGAAAATCTGGAGAAAAGTCAGGAACACACCAAACGGGATTAATATTTTTACGATGTCTACTGACGTAGGCTTACTATGGATTATCTTGTGAGACGGTGGAATGTAGATACACAAATAATTGTCATGAGCCACAAAAGTTATATTACCTGAATCATTATTTGTATTGGCATGTCCAGCAAACACGGAAGTTGAAGCTGTGTATCATGAAAGCATTTTTCTATTTTCTGTTGCTTTGCTTCGTTTGTTTGTTCCTTTTATTTGATGATAATCGTATAGCGGGCTACGGATTCATGACCCCCCCCCCCCACCACCACCACCACCACCACCACCACCACCACCTCCACCACTACCACCATCTAAGGTAACGGAAATGGGTGAGAATTCACCCCACCCCCTCCCCAACAACATCTGGATACGCCTCTATCAAGTGTCATAAGTATGATAATAAAGACCTATTTTCCATCAATGTCACATTCTCCTGAAACTGAGCAAACACCAGAGTCTGATCTTGAAGAGTATCACCACATGTACTCTCCTCTCGACAAGTGCGAAATGAACTGGCAAGGCCAAGACTTGGGGATTAACGGGCCGAAGTTCAACCAATAAACAAATGTGTCCCCAAAGATTTTCAGCCATGGTAGAGCTGAAGAGAAAATTGGAAATGAACTGCCAAGTGTCTGCCACCTGTGCGTCTCGTATTATGAGAGTATAGGCGAGGGGTCAAGGCTTACAATGTGGTTAGGTCAATTTCATCTCATTAGTCATCTCGCGATCTCGGAAACATGGCATGACCATAGAGACTCCGGATAGAAACTCCGGCTAGAAGGCTGGGACAGATTAATTTGCGATCGTTAAAGTCTTCTAATATAATAGGTGATTTTCTGGATATTTCTGGTAATAGGGTCAGGTATTCTGAATTCAGACAAGTCACAGATCAAATAAAACAAGTTGTTGAGGGGGAGGGCTGGGGAACCCCTCCCCCAATTGAGAGTGAGGGAGGGGAGTGAGTGAGAGCATGAGAGGGAGGGGCTGGTGCAGGGCAATAATGTGAAATATTTTACATTTACAATAACTGAAATCACTAGACAAAGTGGAATCAATTTATATCAATGGGAAAACTCGTGACATGTAAAGTTCGAGTTCGACACGATCTCCTTGGCTGTGCTTGTCAGCAAAATGTGGTAATTTCGATTTGAAGGAGAAAAAAGAAGTCTAAAACATCTGAGGACCTACTCTAACTTTTTGACAGACGATTGACAGGTGAGTTATCGATGACCTATATCGTCGTCTGCTAATTGGTCGCAATCTATGGGTGGTCAACCTAATACTGATCTTTTACGAGAGACAGTAACGGTCGCACTTGGATGCTTAATTATGTCTCAGGAGAGAAATTGAATTAGTCTATAGAATTAAACCTTATAGTAACATCATAACTGTTATCCGGTTGGATTTAATTGACAATAATTTCCGTTCTAGAAACATCGTAGAGTAAATTCTACAAACATCGATTATCAATGGCAACATACTGATTGATGGCGTATTCCACACACGGCTGAAGTATTTTACCAACATCCAAAAGAGGCGTAGCCGCCCGTACCCCCTCGAAAAATCGAATGACGAAGGGGATTAGTAGAATCAGAAAGGAAAGAAAGAAAGCAAGACGGCAAACAGTAATATCAAACCATGAACCTAATACAAACTATCTCAGCCGGCAACCTCCCCTGACTCTCACTCGATGGCCATTAAGACTAGTGCCCCCCCCCCCCCATGACTTGGGATTCCACGGGTCCCCCCCCCCCCCCATTGACCGGACCAACGCTACGCCACTGGTATTCAAACTGAAAGATGTTTAATCCCACCATGATCCCCAACCCCGAGGTTGCCAAAGCAGACTAGATGACGAAGGCATTCGGCATCTGCAAGCATCCTGGCGCCATGGTTACTAATTGTTCTTGTTCCAACCTCACGAGCCATGACCTTATCGGGTCACGAAGCCGATGCTCGCTCTAAAACCGCAACCAGGAAGAGTGAGAGAGAGAGAGAGAGAGAGAGAGAGAGAGAGAGAGAGAGAGAGACTGGCCGTGACCTGAAATGACCTGGGTAGAGAGATAGGAGGGGCTCAGACGACAAGAAGGATTGGTCCTGGAACAATTTGACGAGTCCCGCGGGAACCCTTCCCCTCACACATTCCTCAAACTCGGTCGCGATAGACAGGGAGATGAGGTCAACCGTAGTTGTCACGCCCAGGCGTTACTGTGAACTCGCTTAAGTACAATGTTTATCAAGGGAGACGTCGATGTCCAGTGCATGCAAATTTGACTCCGATCAAGTGTTTATTTTTATTTTACTGGAGGAAATAATAACAAGGAAACATATCCTCTGTTACTGAAAATAGTATTTCCTTTCATACTTTCAACTTATCTTTTTGGCCCTGTTTCTATCCAGTGTTATGCTTACATGTATTTAATTGGGCTATAAAGCAACTGGTATAATTTCAGCCCGGCCCCCTCATTTTAATACACTCCCTTTTCGTTTTCAACCTATTTAATGTGTAACTGGGGGAATTTTTTTT